GGCCTCTGTTGCTGTGGGAGCAGAAGAAAACTTTGGTCTGTCCTCCTGGAGAAGGTGAGAGGGTCCAGTCACTCACCAGCACTCTCAGACAGTGGCTGATTGCCTGTTTAATGTTCACAAGTGCCTGAATCATTACATGAACAAAGTCTTTTTCATCTGCCAGTGGCTCTCAAGGCTGGCTCTACATCAGAATCACCTGGGAGAGCTTTGGTGGAAACAGAGATGCCCATGCCCTACACCCCGGAGAGTCTGACTTCATTAGTCTGGGGTGGCATGGACACTGGTGCTTCTTTTAAAAAAAAGCTCCCCAGATGACTTTAAATTACAGTTAGGGATGGAAACTCCTGCTGTACAGAAGGGGACAGCAAAGATTTTCTGTCAAGGGTCAGATAGTAAATATTTTAGGTTTTGCAGGCCACACAATTCTGTGACAATCACTCAGCTCGGTCATGGCAGCACCAAAACAGCCATCAGTGGGTATAGCTGTGTTCCAATAAAACTTTATTTTCCAAAACAAGCAGATGACAAGATTTGGCCAGCTGACTGTAATTTGCTAACTCCTGCTCTAGTCTAGACTATTGCATTTATGAAGACGAGGCACTGTGCTTTATGAAGTTCAACTCTGGGTCCCTGGCAAAGTGACCTGGCATGCAACAGACACTCCATAAATACTTATTAAATTAAATTGAATTTAGTGAGTTTATTGTACTCATGGTGTAATACCTGAGAAGGGGATAGAGTGGCTAGCCTTGGGAACAGATTATAGCATTTGGGGTAGAAAATGTTTATGGCTTAATGCTTTGGGACAATTCATGTAAAAACCTGTTTAACTTTATTAAAACTTTATTGAACTCTTTAGTGAAACTTTTCAAAATAGATTGATATTAAGTTGTGTGTTTGTGTGGCAGTGGGGAGACAGAGGAAATTTTCCAAAGTTTTTATTTGCCTATGCTTATTAAATATATGTGTGTGTGTTCAGTCGTGTCCGACTCTTTGCAGCCATATGGACTGTAGTCTGCCAGGCTTCTCTGTCCATGAGATTTTCCGGGTAAGAATACTAGAGTGGGTTGCCATTTCCTGCTCCAGGGGATCTTTCTGACCAGGGATTGAACCTCCCTCTTGTGTTTCCTGCATTGGCAGGAAGATTCTTTACCTCTGCACCACCTGGGAAGGCAACATAAAATATATATAGCAACCAAGAGAACACCCATACCTGGTCAATCAATGACTCAGTTTATGAAAAATCTGTTAAGTCAGTTGTCTGAACTGCCCAGCCAGTTCAATCAAACTGATGCCATAGTAACCATGTGTAAGCACAATCTCTGTATTTCGATGTTGACAATACACTGGTTAGAAGAAATATGTGTGGCTCCTTAAGTTTTTGCTTTGGTGGACATGAGAAGCAGGTATTAGCTACAAAATGCCTGCATTCAGTTGGCGAGGTACTCGGTAAGAAGTGGAGGCTCACAGCCATTGCATCATGGCCTCAGATGTGACCAAATGTCCCCAGGGATGAGGACACAGAGACAATCACCAGAGAGAAGTTTAAAAAACAAAACAGAATGCATTGGAAATTCCTACAAAGAAATTACTCTTGTATATAGATGCCTAGAAAACAAGGCCAAGCATCCATTTTTTCTTTTCCTCTTTGGTCAAATGCATCAGTCTTGGTTTTAACCCAAGTCTATACATCAGTGGCAATACAGAGACATCATTTATGTGACTTGGCTCCTCCTGATAGGAGCTTAGGATTCCTAAATTCTGATGGCCTGGTTGTGGAAAGGGGACTGTGTGTGTATGTGAATGATGACACCAGCACCCTGGGGCTCAGTCTTTGGAAGGAGGAGGTAATACCCAGGGACATCGAATTCACTGGGACTGGCACACGCGGAATATTTCATCTAAAACTTTTCCTCGACTGTGGTTGGAGACTTTGTACATGGGATAATCTGTGGGCTCAAAGTGTCTCTGGAAAGAGCCTCCTGCGAGGGGGCCCTGGTGTAGACAAACCACAGAGAAGAGGAAGGGGTTATAAGCAGTGAGTTCTGCACATTATGTGAGCACAGTAATCTGTTATTAGTGCAAAGCTTATTGAAAGTAGAGGGTGTGTATCTCTGGCCAAGCAGCAGGGAGAGGATGTTAAAGTTTTGGTGGAAAACTAAAATTGCTCAGGAAAATCTCAATTGCTCAGGAGAATGTTCCTTTCTCCACGTGTGCCTTTTAAATTGAATTTCTTTTTAGGCAATACGTTGTTCTTTTACCCAGGACAGAACCTGGAGGGGTCTGAGTCTTTAAGCTCCTGATATTTCTTTGCATGATTGTTAACGGGAGTCCCTTGGGAAGCATGCTTTTCCATGCATGTATCCTGTATTGTCTTTTCTTTTTCCTCCTCCTCCCACCCCTTCTCCTTACTGCAGAGGTAGCAATCCTCCTGCTATTAGCAAGATGTCTATTATAGTGTCATTAAAAAAGCCATAGTCAGTGCAAGGAATGACTCATGTCATGGAGGACTTAATAATTCACTGTAATAAAAGTTTAAAGTTTTATGATAAACCACTCTCAAGGGAGTTAAATATAATCCTTAGCAGGTCACACACTGACTACAAAGCTTACATTTGTAATGGTAATTTGAATTTACTACATTGCCTTTAGTTTTTAAGCGTTTGTGTGTCATTAGACCTTATAAATTGATTTATATATTTCAACTCCAGTATAATTCTGCATAAAGGTACAATAAATTTTATGGATTGGAGATATGGCATCTAAAACATTTTAATAAAATTATTGTTCTAAATTCACTTAACTGGCATTGATGAAAAGCTGAAGCAAAGATGCCAACATTTCAGAACTTTCATGAACTGGATGAGGTGGGAGTGGCAGCTGCAGGTGGGGGTTGCTGGGTGTAATTCCTTATGGCCGCCTCCTTGCTTTGCCAGCAGAGAGAGACCTCTGGGGCCATTCTTGAAAGGGTGCCCACTACCATGCAGCCTGCCGTGTGTGGGGACTTCAAAGCTCTGGGTAATGCACTGCTGATGAGTTTGCAGGAGAGGGGAGCCAATTGCATCCATCAGAAGGACCTTTCTGTTATTTGTGGAACTAAATGGAATTCTGGCTTTTCAAGGAAAGGAAAGGAAGCTTGTCTAAGCCAGCAGTGTTTACCTACTCACCATTGAGGGCAGATCACCTGGTCCTTAATTTATTTTCTTCTCCAATTTCTAAAAGGAATATGTTAAAAAAAGCATCCCTCCCCCCCCCCCCAAAACACACACACACACACACACACACACACACAAAACCCAATCTCCTTTAGAGTGAAATGCTAGGGGGCTGCTGGATCCCCCTTGGGGTTTGCTTGGCTGCCCTGGCCCCTGGCTTCCCAGGCCTTTGGCCTCACTGGCCATACTTTTGAGGAATGTATCTCAGCCACATTCTCCCTTTCCCTTTATTAGAAAAATACAGGTCAAATAAACCGGATTATGAAAAGTGAAAACCAAAACCTACAAAAACAGAACCCTTGTTTGTTTCACGGGCTTGGATCCAAATGGCACCAGGCAAGCTCCTGAGAGCAGAGGAGGGAACCGCCCCTCCCCACCCCCCTCCCACCCTTGCCCCCAGATCCTCCTATTAACTTTTCACTTCTCCTCATTGGTCTTATTTCAGCTCGCCCGTCAGGAGTGAGTTGTGATTAATTATATTTTCCTTCTGACTTTGCAGATTCAGGGGCGATCACTCACTGGCTCCTCTCCTGTGAGAACTGTTTACATTTGGCACTGTGCTTTTAAGTCACTGAAAGCGGTGCTGAATTTGGCTAAAAATATTTGATAAACTATACTGTCTGTTTTAAGGCTTTAAATAATTATCCAACTTGTTTTTTCTTTTTGCATACAGCTTCCCTCAGTGCAGATCTTCAGAACCTTTTGTCTAATGCTATGTATGCCATGTCTAATGCTATGCCTTCCCATAATGAAACTTAAAGAGGTCTTGGCTGGCACTGGTGGCCAGTTCTTTTCATATTCCCTGTGCCACTTGCACATTAGAAAAGCTTTATCCCCTCGTTGGGGGCAGGATATTTTTTGTTAGAAAAGCAGCGAGGTAAACCTCCGGGGGCCCTCAGGACTCAGTGGGTGTGTCACTGTTAAATGACCCTGCCAGCTGGACAGGTTGAGGTACAATTTACTGGAAATATATTAAAAGTGTATTGGGAAATGATTCTTAAAAATGTTCCCACTGCTGGTGTGATACAGATTAGAACCCCAGTGTGCAATGGAGAAAAATTAAATTGTAACAAGAAACCCCTGATGGTACAATGATGGCTTGTGGGTTGAATTCAAGGGACTAAAGGGAGAAAATTCAGCTTCCAATGACTTTGTATCTAGGGCCCAAGCCAGGTCTGCACAGGGCAGAGGACTGGGCAAGTGGGAATACTTTCCTCTGACAACTGACGTCTGTGTGCATTTTCCAGGTAGTCAGGTTGTCAGCCTCTGCATTCTCCTCTCTCTCCACACCCGTCTCCTTAGTACATCCCCGGAGAGTCAGAGCTGGGACCTTATGCAGCCTTATGCAGCCTTATGCATAGACACATTTAGCAGCTACTTGTATGGTATGATTTATGCAGCAGGAAAAAATTTCTGGCTGGAATGGCTATCATTCAACTTGTTCTTTCTCCCAAAGCAAAGACTCTCCAGAAATCTCTATTTAAAATGCAAATGGACCAGAGAAAGGGAGTAGACATTTATCAGTCATCAACACCATGGTGAGAATTAGTGTCAACAGAGTTTAGCAGGCTGATCAGGACCTAAAAGAGGGCACACCACAGAAGAATTTAGTTGAGGAGGAAGAATTTGCTTAAGGTAGGTAAGGCAGAGTGGTACACTGCAAAGAGAGCCTGGGGTCGTCATGAAAGGTGGAAAGACTGTGGGGAGTGGCATGGGGGAAGGACCAAGAGTGGAGAGACTACAGAAAGGAAATGTAGCAGACCCATCAAGGTGAATTTGACCTACCTTGGACTTTGCCTTAGAATTGTCCTTCAGATGACATGAGCAGTTCTACAAACTTGTCACTTAGAGTTTTGTCCTAGAAATCTCATCTTGTATCTCTGAAATTTTCTTGGTCCATTAGGAGATGACCTTATGCACAGTGAACTCTAAATTTACAAAAATATTAAACATATATGATAAATAGAAAAATATGCAAAGTGCTTTCACATATGCCCCTTGGATTATTTTCATAATCAGCCTGGCACACAGTGGATGCTTAATAAATATTTACTCAGATGAACTGAATATGTAGAACTGGTGTTATTACCAGTCCCATTTTATGGATGAAGAAATTGAACCTCAGAGGGGTTGAGTTGCCCAAGATCAGGCAGCTAGTCAGTGCCAAAGCCTCTTTCATTCTTAGAACCCCCCACCACCTGCCTTTCATCAGGCCTAGAGGCCCCCTTGCAATACCCTATTTTGGCTTGTCTTCTTTAGCTAGGTCAAAAGCAGTGCTTTCAACTTTTGTAGTTCTGATTCCCAAGGCCAGCTTTTCTTCCTTGCCTTTGTATGAGAATAGGATTGAGCAAGGCTCTGTATGCTTCATCCTATTAAACCAGGGCCATGTAGAGAAATTGAGTGTAATCTACAAGGCATGTCCTTGACCCTTTAATTACAATTTGCTGTACTTCTAGGTCCTCAGTTGCCCAACCAGATAGACCTTTCCATCCAACTTGAGGCCTTGAACATTTTAATTGAAAATAACTCAGATGTCTAAAACTAGGATTGGTGGCCCATATTCTTACACCATGTATGATAAGGCATGTTCATTAGGAGCACTGTTTGAACCAAGAATTGGGTCCCCAAGAGCCAACATCTAACAGCTAAGTGACCCAAAAGTGGTGCATTTGGAGTGGAGAGGGCTGATGGAGAAAATGCCCTTGATATTCTTGAGGGGCAACTTAATGCCAGAAGCCAGAGTGCTAGATGGTAAAAACAAGTCCAGAGTGACATGATAGAGAGGCAAGAGGCATGGGGTGATTGTCTCAAGACACTGATGAGTGCTTGCATAATCAGTTGACTGTGGATAGTGTTTGGAGATTCAAGTTGGTTTAATGGTAGGGAGCAGAGATACCTAAACCATAAGCAGGCTGCCTGACCTAGACCACAAAAATTTGTTTCTGTCATTTTATCTCACTCACTGCCCCTACCCCCCAACTCAATTTGGGCCTTAGCTGTTCTCTCTGAGAAATGAAACTCACTCTTTCCAGACCCCAGAGTAATTCAGTGGCTCTTTGAATGGCATTCTGTATGTTTTTCTCTCCTTTTTTATTGTGGGCTCAGTTTGATTCCAAAACATTCACAGATAATTCTCAGATACTCTAGCTGAGTCATAAAGATGATAATACTTCTTAGGCTTACACTTTTAAAACTAAATTGTGGCTTAATTATTCCATTCTATGTCTCTTGAAGTATTACAAATCAGATTGTCTTTCTTCCTTTTTCCCACTCCTTTGTGTATGTGTGTGTGTGTAGGTATGTCTGTAATATGTAACAATTAAACGTGCATAGAAGAACAAAGCGTGTGACCCTTAGGCCTGCACCATCCCCCAGTTGGAGCTATTAGCCAGTTACATGCACAATTAACCAGCTGATTCTTAGATTGAAGGCTGAGGGAGCTAATTACAGGTACAAAAATTTCACCCAGATAAGAAGAGGTTGTTCTAGAAATTTAGTCTTCATACCTCCTTCTTCAGGGTGACTGGATAGTGCGTGTGGGTCTGTGTGTATGTATATGTTTCTTTTAGGTTGACCCATCTTCCTGGTTTGCTTTCATCACAATTGCTTAATGACATCCAGTGAAATCCCCTATTTATGATGTTTTAAATAGAACCTACCAAATCACATTCCATTCAAATTCTGGCACAAAGATCTATTGCAGGCTCTTTACGTGTTGTGAATTTTCTGTTACATCTAGAATCCTGCAATAATCTGTTGGAAAATATGAGTGATGTATATGCGTGTTATATATGTTGAATATCTTATTAAGAAGTACCTCTAGGAAGGGAATTCCTATTTATTGATAGCTTACCTGTACCAAGCAACATCATGCATTATCTTCTCAATAACCCTATGAGGTTGGTAGATTATTCCCATTTAATACATGAGGTTACTGAGGTCATACAAAGTGTGGTAACCTGCCATACAACTTGTCTTAGGTGAATTTGCCAAATGCTAGCTCTTTTCATTACTCAACTTGATAGAGTTCTGTGAATTGGATGAACTCCATTCTTATATCTCTGTGTAGCTATGAAATGCTATAGTTCTAAATGATTCTCTTTACAATGTCTCTGGAATTAGAGCTAGTGGAAGTAAGACTAAGCATATCATCTCAGACTGCATATGTTAAGCAGACCATCTAGACTTCAACTTCAGACTATTCATATGATTTATGGTGATGCTGAGGAAGCATCTTTGGTACATTGTCCTCTGTACTTCTGTGACACCTTTCATATCCATTTCTCTGGCATTCCTGCCTCATTCTTTCCCCTGGATGTCTTGGGACTTTTCCATTCTCCAGGGATGTCCCCACCCAGCTCTGTCCTCCGGAGATGGGATTCCATGATTTGCAACTTCCCTTCCCACTTTCAGCAAAAGCCCATCTCCCATGTTCCTGCCCCTAGGCTATGCTCTGTGCTTTCTGGCTTGTTAATAAAATAATTCCACAAGAACATGGAGATTGTTAGATGCTAATAGAATTAATACATTATGATGTAGCCACTATCTTACACTGTCAAGTTTCCTCTTGGAAAAATGAAGGGGCAAGTATGAAGATGCTCTGAGATCCCATCTTTTTCAATTTCATTTTAAACATATGATCCATGAACCTCCACACATTATTCTTACATTTTGACAAGGGCCTTCTGTACATAATGGATCTTAATTAAAAGAACACCCTTCCCTCTTCTGCCCCTTAAATAGAATGCCCCAGGTTTATTAATGCTTGGCCATCTCTCCTCTCATGGAGGGTCCCTGTGACTCCACATTTATGCTAATGGCTCCTAAATCCACATTTCCAGTCTCCCTCTGACCTTGAGTTCCTGTCTCTATGTTGCTATTTGTTGGCCATTTCCATTTGGGTTTTCCAAAGTTCTCCAAAATTCACTAAATACAAAATAAAATCATCATTTTTATACCCTTCCAAGCTGCTCTTCCTTCCTTATAGACCATTCATGAGTAATACCACTCTGTTTGTCACCCATTGGGGAAATTTGCTAATAGTCCTACATTCTTCTCTTTCCTCACCTCCTACCACCACTCCAGGCAGTCCAACCTGTTCACTCTTCATCTTATACTCTGTCATCCATCCAATGTCCTTAACTCCCCAGAATAGCCCTCATCTGTTTTTTTAGACATTGAAAGGTTGTTGTTGAACCCATGAAAAGTTCTTGGCCTCCGGAGGAGAGGAATTCAATCCCGGGCCAGAGATGAGGCTTGATCGCTCAGAGCTTTTGTGCAATAGAGTTTATTAAAGTATAAAGTATAAAGTTTATTAAAGTATAAAAGAGATAGAGAAAGCTTCTGACATAGACATCAGAAGGGGGCAGAAAGAGTACCCCCTTGCTAGTGTTAGTAATGGAGTTATATACTCTCCAATGAATCCAAAGAAGGGCTGGAAGTTGTAAAGACCTCATCAGACCTACTCCCATAATTTACATTTTAAGATAACAGGATTAGCCAGAAGGTTTAATACAGAGACTGTCCTCAGGCAGGATACATTATTGTTACATAATCCTAAGGAATGTAGAGGAAAAAAATTTGTCCTTTCTTCCTCCTTGAGAATTCCAGACCCCTCTCTCCTTGGGGACCCCTAGACTTCTTATCAACCTGCCTAGGAAATGGCTCTCTCAAAATCATTGCAGTGACCTTGAGCAGGCTTTCCATCATCTAGTACTATTTTATGCCAAATCTTCCTGTTATGATTACACCACAGGATCAGTGGGAGAAGCAAATAAGATAAGGAACATGGACATGTTTTATAAAATTTAAAGAATTCTACTAGTGTGCTCTGTTATTTTTTGCTTTCTGGAAAGACAGATTGCTGATTCTGGCTTCTGCATCTTTGTGCTGCTTCCTGTGTCTCCAGTGTTCCCCTTGTTTCCCTCTTCCTTTTAAAGTAATATCCTTTCCTTGAGGCTTAGCACAAGCTCATGTATTCCATAAGCACAATCTAACCATCCTCACCTTCTTTAACATCTTCTTTCTAAAATACCCGTGCCTTTGCTTCCACCCTTTGCTCTTTGTCAGTTACACCCTTGAACCTCCCATTTGATTTCCTGGTTCATGGTTTATTCTCCACCATCAGGTAGTAAGGTTGGTTGAAGGTAGGGACTATATCTTTATACTTCTCTAAAGCAAACTAGAAGATGCTCAAAAACAGTGGATGGATGGATGGACACTTCCCTGCCCTTCTATTTGTTTTGACCTGAAATTATAAATCTGGCACATGCGGTCTGTGTAAGAAGGATTCCTAAATCCCTTGGACACTGAGATCCAGTTATCTAAGCAAAAGAATGACAGCTGGATGCTGAAACCCTGATTCCTCTCAGGGCAGTGGGAATGAAGCTAGTGGAAATAACATGGGGCAATAAATTCGCAACACCTTGAACATCTAATGCTCTTCTTCCTTTCGTGGTGTACCAGAAAGAGATTGCAGAGCCAGGTGAAAGAGGGGACAGTGTTCCAGGGGAGTCTGCAGGCCAGCGCTGGGGTGTGCAGGCATGTGCGCTTGCTGCTCTCTAACAAACACACAAAATGGGCAGTATGTAGCCCATTGTTTCCTCTGCCCAGGTAGTTAGGCGTGTTCAGTACTTCTTCAGCAAATGGGGTCGCTGTCCCCTTTTGCTTATCCAAATACACAATTGGACAATAAACGAAACTGTGGGAAATTCACAGTGCCAGAGGTCTTCATTCAGGCTGATTTTAAATGGACCTTGATGCATAGGATGAAAGAGCCATTAGCAGGGAAGGGTTTAAACTACATTAGGAGAGCAGAGAAAATTGTCCAACGTTTGGTCAGTCCTATGAGGTAAAAGGGAATATGGGGTGGGGGCGAGCTATTAGAGAAGGAAAGTTGTCTTCCCACAGTGGTGCTGAAGAGCAGGCATGGGCTGGAATAAAGTGCCAACGTGGATCTGGAAACAGTGCATAAATACCATAAATACGTGCAAAGTTCCCAGATGGTAGAACAGTTCTTTCTTCACCTCTAAAAACATTACAAATGCCTTTCCTCTTCCCTCTCTCTTCTCCCAACTATGCCTCCTCCTTCCTTTGATTCTGTCTATGGAACGTAAAGTATATTTGAGGTGCTTAAAGGAAGCCTTCAACTACTGTTTTACAAGTCAATACTAATTATTGTTTAGCACTGGATTATGGGCCGGATCATGGAATTAAAACGGAGCTGTTAGGACACCTTTGTACCTGGCAAAGAGTTAATGAGCACATGCTGGGTCCCTGTAGTAACTGCCAAGCTGGTTAACTATTTTATCAATGGCACAGGAACAAAGTCTAATAAATCATTTTACTTTTATCTCAATGCTTCCTTCTTCATTAGCAAAATGAAAAAGCTTTAGTGCAATGGTTATCATATGGTGGGAAATTTTAAAAATATTGTTCAACTGGTTATCTACAGAGTGGGGTGGATGTGTATATTGGAGGAAGAAAAAAAAATGACAAGCAAATCTGGGATCAGCAAAGCTACTGGATTAATAGCATAAACAGAGAAAGTGATTTGTCTCCTGAGACCCAGGGTGGTGACTGGCCTTCCTCACGACTGTGTGTTTGGTGGATTAGAGATCAGAATTCAGACGGTGGTCAGCGTGTGTGCATGTGTGTATGTGTGGTGTGTGTGTGTTTAGTATGGCAGCCTACACTTCTAGAAATGGAAGGGCAGGGCTTCTGCCTCCAGGTCTAGTCACTTGGGATTTCTTGGTAAGGGCTGAATTGCTGGGACAATTTGGGAAAAGGGGAGGGAGTGAGGAAGAACAGGGGTGAGTTATGAACAATCTGTTCTGATGAGATGTCCAGCTGGGTTGGCAGCCAGACTTCCCAAAGCAACTCAATTCAGCAGATCTCTGAGCAACTAAATGGGCCTTCGTGGCTTTAGGGTCCTGCTGACTGGAGTGAGATTTGAACCAGTGACCTGTAAGTGAGAAATGCTATTTGCTATTGCCGGGTGCATGTGCTGTTTAGTTTGACCCTCTCACTGCCCCCCACAGGCTCCTCAAAATTAACATTTAGACATGTTCAGCACTGAAAATGGGGTACAGATGACTGTCTTCCTTACCCTGGTGATTAGATCTAAAGCTGATTTTTAAAAGCTTTGGAAATGGTTGGTGAAATATGTTATTTGTATAAATTCTACAAATTTTAACTTCCTTATGTGATAAAGTGAGGGGTGGGATGGGGTGGCATACTCTACATATAAGTCAGGGTATGTAAGGATAATGTATAGCTTAATAACAGATTCTATTTTTCTCCGTGTTAGGTGTTACTACTCACTTCAGTAATTTACAATACTGGCATTACTTTGTGAGAGTTAGGACTCCATTAAGATGTGTATCTTATGCAGCTGGTATTACATGTAGTATATATATATTTTTAAATTCTTAATCTTTAACCTCAGTATTACATAAAGGTGTGAGGGATCAATTATAGATAAAAAGGGGGGAGATCTCAGAGGACTTGCAAACCTGTTGGCAGTTTCTCCAAGATACAGTACCAGGTTTGTATATATTGGTATTTAGTTTTCCATGGCTCAGAAGA